ACTGTGCATGGTCAGAACTTCCAGACTATGCATGGTCAGAACTTCCAAACTGTGCATGGTCAGAACTTCCAGACTATGCATGGTCAGAACTTCCAGACTGTGCATAGTCAGAATTTCTTGTCACTAATAATTACTTTAAAAGCCACAAGCTGACAGCTTTAAACATCCAAATTCAGTGCTTTTATAGATAGATTTCATCTGAAAAATTCTAAATTTATAAAATTTAAAAGTCTAAAATTATTAATTCAATTATTAAATTCTCTCAAAAAGGAAGTCAGAACTTCCAGGCTTGGCATAGTCAGAACTTCTTCTCAATAATAATTACTTTAAAGGCCAAAAGATGATAGCTTTAAACATCCAGATTCAGTGCTTTTATGGATAGATTTCATCTGAAAAATTCTAAATGTATAAATTCTAAATTTATAAAATTTTAAATTCTAAAATTCTAAATTCAATGATTAAATTCTCTCAAAAAGGAAATCAGAACTTCCAGACTGTGTAAAGTCAGAATTTCTTGTCACTAATAATTACTTTAAAAGCCACAAGCTGACAGCATTAAACATCCAAATTCAGCAATTTTATAGATAGATTTCATCTGAAAATTCTAAATGTATAAAATTCAGGGAATTTCTACATTTACCCACCTGCCCTTGAAGAACTTGCTGCTTTTTATTGTGCAGCTCAAGGTAGGAATTGATCCTCTCGGACTGTCCCAAAGTCCGTTTGTTCTTTTTCACAAAGTTTTTTTTGGCTCTTTGGGGTGGATCCTGCTGGTTCTGAGGAGGAAAAGCGTGGCCAAGATGATTTTTGCAATGAAATCCATCCGCAGGTTCCTCCCCTTTGCTTTGTGGCCCATCAGCTTTGGCGCTGGCCACGTTTGCTCCATGAAATGTGAATAATTCTGGATCAATCTCTGGGAGTGAATCCTGGCTCTGGTGATTGTCCTCTGAGGAGCCATCAGAATGGAGATAAAATGAATCCACTGAAAAGTCCCCACTGCTTCCTCCAAAAATCTGGGGTGCCTTCTCTGCCTCAAAAAAATCTCCTTTTTTTGCATTCTTCCAATGAGGATTGTACCTCAGGCTGGAATATTTGTCCACAGGCTGTTGATTCCTAATTAAAAAAAAACCAAAAACCAAATTATTTCTGTATAAATGGTACAAATTCTGTATTATTTCAGTGCAAACTGATGTCTTGTTGTGGCCAAATGAATTATTTCAGTAATTCATCAGACTTTTATCAAAGATTTTTGGTAGAAAATTTAGGCAGGAATTCCTCTCCCTTTTTAATTCCCATCATCAGTGAATGATAAATTCTAACACTCAGATCACAGTGAGATACAATCATTATCTTAAATTTGGCATGGAAATTTTTAAATCTTTGTAGAATCAGTGAAAAGGTGAAAGGATAAATTGCATTGTTCTGTTGTCTCCTTAAACATGACACAGTCTCCAAAAGGCAATTTGTGTTTGTTGTTCCTTCTCCAAAGGCTCTGCTGAGTGAAATAAAAGTGAAATTCTTGGTAAAATCAGATTTCAAGTGTCCTTTTGAGACTGTCCAAACAAGCTCTGTGTTCTTATTTTCTCTCCTCATTCCTGTGAAACATCCTGATGCTTTGATTAAAAAAACTCCNGCAGCAGATCCAGGGGTGGCTGCCAGCAGGTGCTGATGCCACTCATGGAATCACAAATTATGGAATGTTTTGGTGGGAAGGGACCTCAAATCCTGTCCCATGGGCAGGGATATTCTACACTAGCCCAGGCTGCTCCAAGCCCTGTCGTGGAACATTTCCAAGGATGGGAATTCCACAACTTCCCTGTAATCCGTCAAGGTCATGAAGAAACTTTCCTACACCCCCTGTGCCTGCTGTGTCACCTCTCTTTTGTCCATTTCAGTAAAATAATCTTGTCTCACAACCCTGATTTTAACTGATTCCTTCTTCTATTCCATATTTTTAAACAGCGCACAATGAAGTCCTGATCCCTGGCTCCAACACTTCGGAAAGATTTCCAGAATTCCCTGAATAGCAAACATAATCATATCAACACAGCTCTAATTAGCATCCATCCACACTCATTATTTTTACCATCAACCAAATTAGAAGTAAAAAAAAAAAAAAAAAAAAAAAAAAAAAAAAAAAAAAGAAGTGCTCTTAATAGATCTACTAGAGAAAAAAATCCAGTCCATCATTCCTGCCTGGAATGAAGGCAGAAAATTCCCTCTGAGGTTGTGTCAATCTTCATTAGCCTTGGCAGAGGTGACACCTGGAGCTCCCCAAGGTGACAATTTTCTGTGTGGAGTCATTCAGTGACCCCCCAATTCCCATTATGCATAATAAATAGCAAGGAAAAGCAATGAACTCATTTCTAATTGTTCATTAGGAAGTGTAATTACATTTCCTCTGGAAGCTTGCCACAAGGGGGCTGAGACTGAGCAAAGTCAGAACTTCAGGATGTGCAAAGTCAGAATTTCCACCGTGTCCATCGGTCAGAACTTCTTGTCACTAATGATTACTTTAAAGGCCAGCTTTAAACATCCAAATTCAGTGCTTTTATAGATAGATTTCATCTGAAAAATTCTAAATTTATAAAATTTAAAATTCTAAAATTCTAAATTCAATGATTAAATT